TTAGAAGATTTAGAAAAACTCATTTTTGAGATCCTATTGCAGACTTTTCGCTATTCCAGAAGGCAGTACAACTCCATATATACATACGGGGGTCCGAGAGCCAGGACAAGTCAGTTGTTAATCAGCTCTGAGAAATGCAGTTCAAAGAGTTAGCTGAATTGCGTTTTAAAATTCATCTCTAACAGATTTTGGAAATTTACGACGTTTCTGGCGCGAAAATTGCTTAATACCCACATTTTGAGTTATTTACAGTTATCTATTGTACTGTTATTTATAGTGTTATATTTATGTAGGTATTTATTCTGTGTTATTTGTATATATAATAAATTATAATTTTTTTTCCTTGCTTATCTGAAATGATTGCTTTTCGGTTCTAAGAAGCCATGAGAGAGTAAGGGCCTTGTTTCAGGAAATGTCGAGGAAATAAAGCTTGGCAAAAAGTGATACATAATTTTGAAAAAAACCATGACACGTAGTATTATAAAAAAATTTCTCTTTGTAAGTTTCAATTTGTAATGAAATATTAGAAAGGATTGAAAAAAAAAAAGAGAGAGACACGAGTCCTTAGGTCGCAACACTAAATATGAAGCTAAAAAGAGAATGAGATAGATACTGTTGTGAGCTACGTCTTCGTGGACATCTCTTTAAATAATCGTTTCAGATGGGTAAGAAGAAACTTACAGGTTATTGTAATGAATAATTATACACAGCAATATAAATAGCCGCGAATAAATTAAGCAAAATACAGATATTAGTCAAACCCTCTTTAACTCATGAGAAATATCGTTAATTTGCAATATCACTCACACCGTAAATTTTAAAGCGCAGTTTAACTAGCTCGTTTTGAACCTCGCAAGTAAACCCTTCTCTCCTTTGATACCGGTTTTCCGGAAATCCATATATTTTCTGAAATCTTATATCACAAGTAGAAAAACTGTAAAGTCTTAGGGGCAAGAAGGATAAGCGTTTAGGAGCTATAGAATCCACAAAATATCATTGAAGTGTGTATAGATGGACATTTTTCCGTAATGACGTCTCTATTTCCTGTATGTTCATGCATTATCTGCTTCCGAATTACCTGATGGTAAAGTCCTACGAGAAGAACTGGTACCTGAAGGATTTACGGGGATGATTTAGCCTCTGGACATTCATTTTTTTCAGACACTCCAAATCTTTTGTTCGCTACATAAAGGACACAATTATTATCGAGACACAGAAGCACATTTGGCATCGCGACAGTATTTTGGCCCTACAGTCCTTTTCACTATGTCAGTTCAGCTCTCCTCATCACTATGCTTCTCAATTTCGCACTCACAGCATTTCTAATCCCCAAACAGAACTCACAGTCACATCACTCATTACACAATTTCAAACACACACAAAAACACACACAAACAACACTCCCTTAATTATGCCATCAGAGGTTATTAGTTATATCGAGAAGAGAAAAAACCGGAAAAGCCCCGGACTGGATAAGATTAGCAATAAACTGATCAAGGAGATGGAGCGAAAATGATATGCAAGTTCAAAAAACTCCTGAACGCTATGATCCGCCTACAGTATTTTCCTACCAATTGGAAAACAGCCATCATCGCACCGATACTAACACCAGGAAAGGATCCCCCCCTGGCTACTTCATACAGACCGATAAGCTAGCTGTCGACTTTAAGTAAAATTGCTGAAGCCGTCATTTTGAAGAGAGTGCAAGACTTCCTAAAAGATAATAACATCCTTATTCCACAGCAATATGGGTTCAGAAGTAAACACTCCACCACGCACCAACTCTATCGTGTCACTGAGATGATAGCAGAAGGTTTCCAGAAAAGACTCACCACAGGAGCTCTCTTCCTCGATATTTCGAAAGCCTTTGATTGTGTATGGTTACAGGCTTCACCTTCAAATTAATCACTCTGGGTTTCCCATACATCATAAACATCATCAATTCCTATCTCCACGATAGACACTTTGTCGTTCACTATAACAATACTCACTCCAGACGGAAAGTAACTTTTGCGGGTTTGCCTCAAGGAAGTTTATTTTCGCCTACATTATTTTCAATCTATACGAACGACATCCCTCACAACACTCACACTACACTCGCACTTTATGCAGATGATACTGCGATCCTGTACTAAGGCTCGTCCATGGCCGCAGTCGTACAAACATTACAAGAACACATCCATGCATTAGAGTCCTGGATGCTGAAATGGAAAATAAAAACGAACGTGGGAAAAATCAGAAGCTGTGTACTTCACCAAAAAAAGAATTGTCGATCTGAGTATCACCCTCAAGATGTATGACGTCAGCATTCCCTGTGCCAAGCAAGTCAAATACCTCGGTATCATTTTAGACCAAAAACTCACATGGGCCCCACACATCACACATATCCTGAATAAGTTTCGGGGTACTAAAGCATTACTCAACCCCTTAATTGCCCGAAACTCTGTTTTATCTATCCATAACAAACTTCATGTATTCAGATCCATGCTGCGACCAAATTGTTACTTACGCCTGTCCCGTCTGGGGGTATGTTTGTAAAACTCATATGCTTAAAATTCAGCACTGCCAGAATATCACACTGCAAAGAATCTCTAATAGTCCCTGGTACTTCAGAAACGAAGCCATCCACAACGAATTAAACATTGATAGCATCAGTATTTGTATTGCAAAAATAGCAAAAAATTCTTTAATAATATAGAAAAAGTCAACAACAGTTCCATTCCCAGACTGAACTACGATTACACTGATAATGAAAACAAAAAGAGAGACCCGGAGCAGTACTTCGGCATTTGGATGTAGCTGTACCTTGCTGTACCCACATTTAAGATCCATTTTCTTACGTTTCTTACCAAAATTCACATCATATAATTGCATTTGTAATAATATTTTTAGATTCTTCTAAGACACGCATAAGTGTCGCCATCTACATTCGATCCAATGTACTACCAATTTTATTTTCACTACTCTATTTTTCAAATTACCGTTACTTTCTCATATAATAGTTATTTAGGCCACTTATTATTTTAGCAAATGATCCCTTCACTTTCATACGTATTCTTTTTGTATTTATTATATTTATTTTTACAAATATTAAGTAGTTTATAATTCGAATCCTCATTAAGAAAAATTTATAACTAAGCCCAGCCCCCCAGCCAATGCCTGACGAGCAAGAATATGCACTTTCTTTTCAGATCAACCATTGGCACACGTGACCCAGTAGCTCCTCCCTGCACCTCATCGACCTTCTCTGCATTCTATTCCATCATCACTAGAGCGCCAGACAACGTAGCAGCAGTATCTGTTACTCAAACGTAGGCTTTTCACATCTCCAGCTTAGGAACCGACTAACTCTCTGTACTGTACTTGCGCAAGGCTCACCAACTGCTTATCACGAGGAATTTTTTCTCTTTTAAGTACTATGCCATGATATGCCAGGAAAAAGATATGCTATCTTACACGTGTTACATACAGGATGTGGCTTTCCCAGCCTAGGAGCCTGTTGAAGTGCCCAGCACCTGAGCCTTCAGCTCTCCTCGTTTTAAGAACTTGATTAAGTATGCTTTTTATAAGGGTAGATACTTGGACTACGCACATGAAATGTGGATTGGGCCAATGGATTACTCCTTCGATTCATTGACAAATGATGAGTGTGCAAAGTGTGAGGCTATCGCCCTTTTTTAAATGTGCGCATTGTGAACTGTCTTTCAGTCCGTCTGACTGTTTATTTGATGAATTGCACATTGATTATCTCTCGTATAGATTTTGTTTGAAGTTAATAATAAGTCACATTTTCAACATCCCAACGTCTGTTGTTTCTTTTCAACGAGTCGTTTCTTCCTTTATAATGAGATCCCCTTCTTACCATATTATTATTTCAAATAAATACGTGAAACTAGCGTTTTAACGATCTTTGGTGCCATGTTTCCAACAATTTTCTGATACTTTGTGGGCCCTATAGCTCTTAAACGCTTATCCCTCTGCCCCTAATATTTCACACTTTTTCTACTTGTAACATAAGCTTTCCGAAAATATGTGGTTTTCCGGGAAACCAGTATCAAAGGAGAGAAGGTTTACTTGTCAGAGTTGACTGATAAAATGTCTAATCGTTTATTGTCGAAGCAGTAACTATATGGCGCTGCCAAGTCTAATGGACGCTTCCGGAGATTCGAAATTGTACTTTTCTGAAATTTCAGAAAGTCATCAAATTAGCGGGAAATCAGCAAAAATCGCCAGTTTGGCAATAGGTTATGCAAATGAGGCCTATCAGGAGCATTTATGCTCATATCTTCCATTTAAACTTTTCTGGATTTAGAATCAGAAGATCTACAATTTTATACTAGAAATAAACGTTTATGTATAAAAAATGATCAGCCAGCAATTTCAATATGCAAAAATAAACCCTAAAATTATTTCCTTAACTGCAAGAAATAAATAAATAACATACAGTATTACAAGAATACAGGAAAGCAATAACGCAATCAAGTGAGTTTAAATATTTAGATAAATTTACAGCAATATAACTAGAGATTTGAATCGGCACCATGTGAAATAATATAGTACTGACCGAAATATTACCTGCGTAAATTAATGAATCAATAAATCAATAATCAGATAAATGCATGAAATCTAGTATTATGTTCAGATGTACGCCGATAGACATGAGAGTGAATGAATCACTTCAGATGCAGAAAGCTACTAAAATCGTTTTTAGTGATTTATAGGTACCTTAAAATTTATTTCAGGCTGCCGATGTTGGATGTTTCGTGTATAACATTATGTTTCTATTAAGGATAATAATCATGAGTGTAACTTATTCCATCAGGATCAGAAGGAAATCTCATTTTTGACTGATGCTTATATTTAATCTTGGCAAAATATTATTTTTTGTTTATCCTCATACATTGCTGTATGTTTATCTTTAAATATATCTAAATTTGACTTAGTCTTCTGATAATTTTGACTGAAAATTCCCCAGAAATTTCATTCCAATTCATTTTCAGGAAATACATGTTTGGTGTAGCCGCCATTCCAGCTTTTCTGCAAGCTTTGGGAATTGCACTTATGCCAAATAGCCATCACTACTTAATAGTTAAAGGAAAGAAAGATAAGGTATAGTTTAAAAATTATTATGCAGCTATTAGTTTCATTTCAGGTTAAATAAATACACTCTGATATTGCAATTGGAAAAACCCGTGATAAGCAATAAACGTAATTCACAAAAATGTATTCGCATAGCAAGTTGTTAGCCCGTGTCAAGAATTTAAATTTCGGAAGCGAGTATTTTTGCCTTTAATGTTTAATTAAAACTCACAGACTCTACTAAATAAAGTTTCTTTATTTGGTCTCTATGTATAACACAAGCACAGAACGTATTAATCTTAGAAGGGGCCCTAGCCAACATGTTACAGAAGTTACTAGCTAGCGTTTTCTAACATCGACTAGGATTTTAGCATCTGAGCAGTTACTGAACTTCAGCAAATCGACAGGCGAGTGTTATCATATTCGCCGTATTCTTCGCAGATTTTATAAGTATAAAATGCAAAAGTAGTGCGAAAAATTGCTCTGATTTTCGTTTCGTCTGTTACACTACAAATTACAAAATCATTTAACTTTTAGATAATATAATGCTTATTCAAGCATGTTTCTTTTAATTGCAAAATATGACTCGAAACTTTCAATATATTTTTAGGGTCTAGGAAATCTTTACAAACCGTGTGAAACACTGCCGAGTAATTTTCAGCACCTGATCTAGAAGTTAAAAGTTAGACTGGCATTTAAATTTTAAATGTGTTTGTATCAAAATAAAAGATTTCTTACATTATAGGGTCCTAAATTGTGTAACACTAATTTAATTTTCCTTCGGACCCTATTATACTGCCAACCAAGTTATCGCTCTATGAAAATATACCACAAAGTTCCATAAAAGTTTTAAATAAACCTTTTCATTAAAATTTGAATTTAACAGAAGGTACAATATCTCTACTTGCGTACATTAATCATAAAAAAAAAGAAAATACAATTTAAAATGTATTCGTAACCCGAGACTACATAAATTGGCCTAATGAAACGCTGACTCAAAACGTGAAACAGCAAAATTCAACTTTGGCTAGCAAAATGGCTAATACTGGAACACTATAACTGCCAGAGTCGAATGAGATAAAATAAAGGCTGCAGGAGTCATTGCCAAAGTCTTTATATTAAAACATTCCAAAACCTCGCCTTAAATAGTCCTGAGCCCACCAACGGCCGAGCGGTAAAGTCGCTGAACACTGGTAGTTCGGTCCGAGGTTCGAATCCCGCGAACGGGCTGGCTGCATGGGCGTTTTCGTGGTTTTCCCCATGTGTAACGTGTATACGAGCCAGTTTTCCTTAGAAAGTCCTCCACGAAGGCATCCCTTCCCTTAGGCAGATAGCCCTCGTGTGCTTTGCCGTAATTAAATACACCATAAATAGTCCTGAACTGATTTCCATTCTGATGAGGGCTAACAAAGAGGTGAAATAATAGTACAGGTTCAAATCATAAAAATGGATTAATTAACATAAAATACCTTACAACGTTCTTCATTTCCGAATGCTGAAAGCTGACAAAATAAACAGAAGTATTAATTACTATGGTAAATACTAATAACCTTATTCTTGATAATTCTAATAAAATACTGTGAATATGCGGCAAATTATCCCTTTCTATCAAATGCTGTATTCCATGAGCAGTGTAAATGAAACCGGAGGGATACTGAGACTAATTTATGAAGAAACAAGAATGAATGCGTTTTTGTCGATACTGTATTCTTATATGCAATTATTGCATTGCTGATCGTTCACACAGAAACATGACAACTGCTTAAAAGAAAAAACATGCAAGTATATGCAAATTTTTATCATTTCACGAAATGTTCATATTAGTGTCACCTTGAAATAGTATAAAAAATTGAAATGCCCATTTTTCATTTAAAAATCGTGTTTTCTCGTTATTTTTTGTGCTGCACGTGATGTTATGTCTTGTATGAAAAGAAAGAGATGATGCCAGAACGTCGCAAAAGAATCGTAGTCTACCATGGCTATGGGTTACTTTACCACATTATTGCTGCTCGCGTTAGTGCAGATCTAGTAATTTTTGAAGGAATTTGCAATCGATGGATTTAGGAGGGTTGCACAGAGCAACGTACGGGATCTCAACGGCGCTCCTAATCATTGATCCAGGCGATGGACAGCTTGTCTGCATCGGTTTTTGAATCGTGCAGCCGTATCAAGTACCTTGGTTAGAGATGGGTATTTTGCACAGTGCCGAGAACCCGCATGTACTGCGCTATGATGTCTGCTACGCATGGATTGTCAGCAAGGTGACTAATGTGGCAGTTTGCCTTTCGCTAAAGTACAGGAATACGCCTATAATAGTACCATCTACTACTCATAAGCATGCGTCAGTGACTTGACGTCACTCTAACGAATCTGCCTTTTCTCATAGCATCCCGATGGCTGTATGGAAGCTCCGAAGGGAACAATCTTTGGAAGCTTTTAGTCATTATTAATATACCCGCTCAGCTCAGATTGAAGTCTCATTGAATGCTCATCCTGCTCAACTTTAGTCTGAATATCCGGCACTTTGACAAGTAACTATTTTGCTATTGAGGTTTTAATGCTCATACCTGTGCATTATGTTCAGGGCCTTCGGTGAACCATCTTTGAACAGGAAAGTTCTAGAATGCATGTTACCTTCGCTGTCCTACGCTTCCGTAATACGCGGGGTGTTGTTCAGCAGCTGCTTTATCCAGTGCATTCGTGAGATCTTTCACCAAACTGACAATGGCTATACCATGACTGCAGACAGACTGACAAGACTACACCTACCATCCAGGATGATAGATGAACTTTGTCCGCCTATATTCTCAGAGGTGATTATTCTCAGAGGTGGATCTCGGGTACCTGAGTTCTGTATGTCCTGTGCCATGAACTTTTAATCATTTGAACCTTCCGTTTTAAAGTATTTAAAAAACAAACATGGTTCTGGCTATTGTTTTATTTCATGGTGTAAAACTTTTAAAGGCCATCAATACATTCGTAGAGTTTTATGTTGAGTAATCTATTATCGTATTTTTTGTATCTTTACTATCACTTCTACTTTCGTCGGCTCCCACCAGGGTGCAAATTAAATAATACACGTAACAATATATTTCTTGAAATTATGAGAGAGCTTTAAGCAACGATCACTGGTCTTTTCCGAATTAGGAATGCTCTGGTCTTAAATTTACCTGAATCGACTTTATCCGTGTTTGCTTTTGCTATCAGAGGATCTGAGCCAAAGCTTACAGTAGAACTTTGCCGTGTTAATTGCATACTTTAATTACTGAAGTTTTATCTTAATGTTCATGTTCTGTTAAATCCCACAAGAAACGATGGATTGTTCCATTAAATATACGAGCCATGTAACTTTTCTGACCCATACACCACTTTCGCCGAATGGTAAACGATTATTCCCTTCCCTTTCCTTTCCAAAACTCGAAAAAGTCTTATACACTTTCTTATATTTAGGTTATTTTAAATGTGTCTTATAAATTAAACAATACAAAGCATAGAAAACATTTATAAATACCAAAACTCAAGTAAAAGTAGTTTTCTATGTGTATATATTAAAACTAACTACCTAAGATTTAAATAAAAGGTTAATCGCATTTCCTCCTGAAACTATGAAATTCCTCCTGGTTGAGAACCCCTGGTGTAAGTTGTTAAGTTCTAATAAAAAAGCTTATTTTAAATCGTCTTTCTAAGTTAGTATTTATTTGTTTGGTCCGTTTTAGAGGACTAGATGTTGAGTTGATACAAAGACATAGGGAAATCTTTCTTAAGTGATTCCAGCAGCGAACTAGTGGAAATATTTTCTGCAGTTAAAATAGAGCTCAGGTGCAGTTGGAATTTTTCTGAAAACATCAAGGGTTAGGACAAGAATTGATGACATTTATATTGAGAAAAGTGAAGATGAGGAAATTGTTGTACAGGAAAAAACCCGGATGTTGAAGTCATACAGTTGTTTATGAAGATTATGTTACAACATGTTCATGATTTGGTCGAACAGAGTATTCCCGATACAATGGAAGAACTATTCGAATTAGTTTTGAAATGCGAAAGTCATCTAATAACGTAAAATAGCTATACGTGGGAATATGGTGACAGATATGTCGGTAGCTTCAGTAACAGATTTCGTGGAAAAAGTGACGCTAAATTCGTCCGGAGAACAAGCGATAATTATCGGCAGAATTATTTTCTGTGTAAAGAAGGTGACGATATCTAAGACTAGATGAAAAACGTTTTTGATAAAAAGGTAAAAACTGGTGTTTAAAACAATAAGGTGAATGGTTAAAAATAGAAAGGAGGGTTGAGAGCACATCACTTGCCAATGATGAGCAGAAAACCTCTCAAATACTATTGAACTCAGTGTTGCTGAAAGAAGTCAAACTGCCTCACATGCAAGTAGTTTTGAGTGGAATTCCTTCAGTAATGTTGTTGAATATAGGGACACAGAGTAACATCTCGGCGGAGGAATATTTTAGCAAATATTTAAGGAAGCGTATGCTGTTTGAAGTTGTAGAAACGAATGTTGTAACGACGCAAGGCAGTATTGTGACTTCATTGGCGGTGTCACTCTGAGTGTGCGGGTTAAGAGCGAAAATACTGCATTTTGTTTTATGTAGTCAGAGAATTTTCCGGCACATGTGATATTGAATTTGGATTTTTTGGAGTCAGCAGAGGCGCGCATTAATATTCATGCGGTATGGTGCAACTCGGGATAAGCGGGCTGATCGAGAAAGAGACGTCACCACCATCCCTGGAATTGCAAGATTTTCGACCGGAGTTAAAAGATAGCTTCAGAAATTGTAAGTAATATTAGTCTATAATACACCATATACCAAATTCTCATGTGTAATACTTCACAGAACTACATATGAGATAAAGACAGGGGGTTACCTATAATTGAGAAAATTTTTATTAAAATTAAAATACGACAACCTTGACTTGACCTGTGGGTATTTTCAGATATGCAAGAGACCTGCGCGAGAGAAAATGCATTTATGCGCAAAACAGGCGTGTATGAGTTTCTAAGTTTGCCATTTTGGTTATGAGGTCCTTCCGCTACGCTCCATAAGGCAGTGCACATAATTTTAAGCCTCGTACTATGAAGATCAATATTAAATATCTAGATGATATAATAGCAACTAATAGCGGAATTCATGTGTATATTGAGGATCTACGCAAGTTTGTACCTTTCTAAAAGAAGCGTGTTTAAAAGTGAAAGCGTAAAAATACAAATTCGCGGGCAAATTACTTCATTTCTTTGGGTGCAATATATCACACTAAGGGAACTGAAATCGAGAAATTCAAAATAATTGCAATTAAAAATTGCCTGTCAACAAATACAAGCAATACAAGAAATTAGCATCGTTCTTGGGTTTGCGCTCATACTAGAAAATATTCCTTAAGAGTTTAGTAAAATTTGCGGAGCTCATGTTAAAGTTCAGTTATCCAGCGGAGATGAATACAGCTCTTGAGATTTTCAAAGCTTCGTTAATTCAAGCTCCGGTCTTAAAATTTCTTGACACGGGAGTAAAACTGAAGATAGCTGCAAATACATCTGATTAGGAGGAGTGCTTCTGCAGGATAGTAATTTAGTAAATAATATTTTAAACAAAATATTCAAACTCAAAGAAATTACACAGCTACGGGAATACAAACTGCAGGGTTTCTTTCCGACTGTTTAGAAATTTACACTACCCGACACTGAAAATGCAACACCAAAAAGGAGTGGTCCAAAAATTATGCAAATTTCAGGGTAGACGCACGTCACCAACTTATGTGAAACGATGTGAAATGGGCAGCTCTCCAGCGGAAGTTTAAGAAAATATAAGGGATGGAACCTGCAGAATGTTCAATTTTCGTGGCGTTATTTCTGCTAGAGAAGTCATCGTAGCAAATTTGTTCTTGTCTCCGTCATCAACGGAGGCAATTTCAGCTGATAGATGATTTTAAGAGGGGCATGGTGATCGGACTGAGAAAGGTAGGTTGGTCCATACGGCAAATCTCATCTGACACACACCTGGACGCATCCACAGTGAACCGACTGTGGCGACAATGGTTGAAACAAGGAAATGTGGCAATTTCGAGGAATGCCGGTGCAGCTAGAGTGGCGTCAACACGCGTGGATAGATGCAACCGCCAACAAGTGGTGGCGCACCCGTAAGCCACTTCTACCTCCATCCTGCAGCATGTTCAAGACACCCTGGATGTTGCCGTATCGACATGAACCATTTGCCGTCGACTGGTGGCTACCGGCCTGCACTTGTGGCGTCCGTTAAGAAGACTGCCATTGACCCCACATCATAGACGGCAAAGTCTGCAATGGCGCCGGGCTTGAAGGATGTGGACGATGGAGTGGCACACGGTCGTGCTCTCAGACGAGTCACGCTTCTGTTTCTCCAATGATAGTCACCGCTTATGTGTGTGGCGTCGATGTGGAGACAGGTCCAATCCGGCAGCAATTGTGGAACACCCCACCGCGCTACAACGTAGCATTATGGTTTGGGCGCAACTGCATACGATTTCAAGTCATCTCTAGTTCATATTCAGGACACTATGACGGTCCAACGATACGTGAATAATGTGCTGCGGCCGGTGACACTCCCCTACCTTCAGGGACCCTTTCTCCCCTACCTTCTATGCTGATAAAGGGCTTTTGGGCACCACTACCTTCAGGGAGTGCCCGAAAGCCCTTTATCAGCATAATAACGACCGACTACACACACCTCGCATCAGCCAACGTTCTCTGTAAGATGTATAGATGCTTCCCTGGCCACCATTCCCTCCTTATCTCTCACCAAACGAATACATTTGGATTTGACTGGACGCCATTTGCAGAATCTGCCGTTGCCGCGTTCAGAAGACGAACTGTGGCAAATGGTTGACAGCAAATGGAGAGCCATTCCTCAGGACACGATCCGTAGTCTCATTGACACTGTACCCAGACGGGTTGCTTCGTGTATCACCGTCCAATGTAGTGCTACAACCTACTGAGCCGACGCTGTACTCGCTGTGCATTATGTATATAATTTCAAAATAAAGATCACTTATTGTCCGTTGCTGTTTCGATCTGTTTGCCGAGTTTCATCACTTTTTGGTCACGCCTTCTTAGTCCTGCATTTTCAGTGTTGAGCAGTGCAAAATGTATTTCGACAAAGAGCCCGTAACTATGTACAGGGATTATGTTACAATCTTTTGTATTCGGGGAAGAATTTATCTTTAAGATTCATAAGGCGGGTTCTCGAAATGCAGGAGTATAATCTAAAGATTAAGAAGACGCCGGTAAAATGGAATGTCATGGCGAATACCGTGCCCAGAACTAAATTAGATGACGAGGAAAAGGGAGAAGTTATGCGCTGCTAACTTCAAAAGTTTAGTTTCTCACGAAACAATATTAAAAAATTCAAAGGTGGATCCCAAGTTTAAAAACATTTACACATATTTAAATGATCCTAATAATTTTAAACACCTTATATCACTGGTATTCGGAACAGGGTCGAAACATATAAAATTATTGATGGTCTTCTGTTTTCAAGGAGGGGACAAATAAGAATACAGAATCTGACTGAATATCTCAGTGACTTTTAAATTCAATTTACTGAATGAGTGACATAATGCGCCACTGTCAGTCGATCTACGCTTGTGAAAAACAATGACGTCAATAAAGTCCTGTAACACTATCCAGTTAATTAAAGATATTAACTGTGGCCATTCATTAGGACCATATTCTAGAATTAATTTAGAAGTCAAACAACAAAAATCTTATTGCATCTTAATATTCCAAAAGTTAAAAAAAATAAACTGACTTTTAGCAATAATTGACCACTTTTCAAAACTAGTGAGTTAGTTCCCTTGCAGAAGGTGTTGGGGAAATTGTTGCAGACAAATGTTTATACTTATGTTTTTTTATCTTAAAATATGGGGCCCCAATCAAACAAGCATCCGTTAATGATCCACAATCCGTGAGTCAGATTTTTGAAGAAATTGACATACAGCATTTTAAGATTGTCCCTAGCAGACCACAGTCTAATACTGAAACTGAGTAAACAGAAACATAATTAAAAATTACCTGAAGGTATATAAAAGATTATCATTAGCGCTGGGATAGCTGCGTAGATGAACTAGCATACGGTCCTTCATTCCTGTCTTACGGGTCTCCATGAACGATAAACATATGGGCAGGTTTCTCGTCGTGTAATGTCAGGAACAAAAGATTAGTAAAACATCTCAAAGTGAGCTCCATTCTCCGAAAAGGAAAAGGAAAGAGGAAAGATCAAAAAGAGTCTCAGCTTCATTTGCGGTCAAAAAGGGTCTCAGTGTCGTGTAATGTCAGGAACAAAATATTAGTAAAAACATCTCAGAGCGAGCTCCATCCTCCAAAAAGGAAAAGGAAAGATCAAAAAGGGTTTCAGCGTCATGACGCTCTCGCACAATAAGAAGGTGATCGTCTGAGGGGCATAATTTAGATACTTTGGTTTTTGCAAATATACTAATGCTTATAACAATGTACATGGTAAATTGAAAAATATTTTTATTTATGTAGGCAAGAAAGGTTTTGCGTTCTTTACGTAATAAGAATGATGTGGAGGAGGAAATGGAGGCCATTATATCATCCATCGAAGAACAAAAGGTCAGTATTAGAACAGTTCAACTGTTTACATGTAAAGTGTACACTATCATATGTGTATATCCCGTCTATTGTGTGTACTTAAATAAAGTGCACAATTTTATGCTTGAGGTTTTATGTTCCAATAATACTTTCCAAGTGCTTTCTCATTCTAGTCTTGGCAAACAAAGAAGGTAGGAACTAGATAAAAAGCAAAAGCACTCACTAATCTCCTACAGCAGCGATTCTGAACTTGCGGGAGGAGCGCGCATATCGAAGAAAACAGAAATTTATTTATCGAAATAAATAAGAAGCTGTTTTTAAAAAATTGATTAATTTACTGAAAAGAAAGTAAAAGAAAATACATTCGGGTATAACAAAAATATACATTTACACTGATATAATACCCTTATAAATAGGACTGTATCAGTACTGAACAATTTATTTAGTAATTAACTTACCCATATAAAATCTTAAAAAAAAATAATAATTGATAGTGTCTTCCTTGGGCTTGACTTACAAAGAAAAGTTTTACGAAGAAAGATTTAATGTAAGAAATAGACACTCCGAGTTCTCTTTTCTAGATTTAGCTGAGATCTATGTATATTTTGTCTTCAAAACAGCGACCGCAAAAAAAATCCGGTTTTGAGAAGGTGGGATATTGAAAATGATAATAGTTTACGAAATGTTCTAGTTTTCAGGATGAAAAACGTATCCTCCAACCGTGCCCCAAATTTAAAGAGTAATTTATTGCTAAATTGTCTTTTGATTGCAGTCTGTGAAGACTCTTCTTCGTGTGGAGCAATTCATAATGACAGCGATGAAGCTGTACACTCCGACGTTAATTTCCCCCTCAACCCCGCTAACTGAAATTGGACTTGATCCAAAAAGAATGAGAAACATTCTCTCCTTGTGTGACTCACTTCTCGCGTTATGCAATGGACAGTATAAAACGCTTGTAATCATCGCTAGATATTTTTATTCTTCTAATACCTAATAAATATGTTATTTTTGTGTTTGCTAATATAATGATCGGGTTCCTTACATCGGCAGCTTGGATTACACTTTATTAAGGTAAGAACTTTAATTCTGTTTTATTCATCTGCTCGTCTCGATTTAGCGAAGTTGTAACAGTAAACAAAAATGAACCACGAATACCTTTAACAATAGATTATGAGACCGAGAGTATGTTTACTTCAATTAAACGCATAAAATATGTCGAGATAAGCTATCAAGAATAAAAAACAGAAAAGATACTTTGCCATAAATTACCGCTGGATAATTCGAAAAAGGAAAAGCCAAGCCTGTCTTCAAAAGCGAAACAAAACTGCATAGTTGTGTACTGCGCATTCGAAATACAGAAGCAGAAATGGCTACCAGCAGCGAAAATAAATATTCGATCATGAAACTAAACAATAACAACTATCAAGAATGGAAATACAAACTTGAAATGATCCTGAAAAAGGAAGATTTATGGGATTTAATAGCAGATGATACACAAAAGAAATAAACGTCGAATGGAAAAAACGAGATAAACAAGCACAAGCTACCATTAGTTACTCGTAGAAGACAACCAAATCGTACACATAAGAAATAAAACGACAGCCAAAGAAATATGGAATGAATTAAAGAAAATACATGAAAGAAAAGAATCTTTCCAGTAAACTTTACCTTCTGAGAAAGCTGTATACGTTAAAAAAAAAAATGAATACAAACTCGAAGAACATGTCAACAAAATGCTCGAAATCCTAGACGAACTGCGAGGAGGAATCGGTGATGAAAGAAATAAAGGACAGTCACTTGCAGCGCTCTTAAGCGGCTTCCAAAAGCTACGAAAATCTTATTATTAGCACGCCCAGAAGAAGAACTAACGCTGGAATACGTAAAAACGCTCATCGAACTGAGAAGAAAAAAGAAGAAGCGAGAAGAAGAAACGAAGGCACCGAGCAGAAGAAAAGACTGCCTTCAAAACACACAAATTCAAGCATTTCAATAACGAAGAAATTGCAAAAAATATGACACTTAGAAAAAAATGCAGATTCTTAAATAACCAAAGAAAGAGATAAAAACGAAAGTAACTCATTTTTCAGAATGAAAAGCAAACAAATAAAGGAATTATGGAAATAAACAAAAGAAAACGAAAGTTGCTGAAAACGAGGGTACATGAAGATGAAAATGAAATAAGAATCATGAGAAGACTGAGAATTCACGTTCGAAGTCACCAGGAAAGAAAATTCAAAACTCAAAATGGTCTTTGACTCAGGTGCTACTTGTCTATGACCGATAACATAAACTTTTTCACCAAATTGGATAGAAGCAAAACTGAGCAGATAACAATTGCTAACGGCACGCAGATGAAGTCCGAAGGTATAGGAGAAGGATACTTAACTGTACAGACGACGAAGATAACGAAATAGAAGTGAACCCGTAGATGTTCTGTACGTCCTGACTTAGAAGGAGGATTGATATCCGTACGAAAAATTACAAACAAAGGATTCACAGTTGAATTTGAAGAAGATATTGCAGAATAAAGAATAAAATAAAACCAAGGAATGCTAAAGCAAAGGAAATTTATATACCGTAGTTGAATCGCAAAGAAAACAGCCAAAATTGCAACTGCAGAAAGAAGTGAAAATAGTATAGATCTTTGGCATAGAAGACTAGGTCACAGAAATTACGAAGCAATCAAGAGGCTAAAGAATGATGACTTGGCAATCGAAATAAGGATTGACGGAGAAGCCAAAAAGGAAAAAGAATGCGAATACTGTATCAGAAACAAAATAACTGAACTGCTGTATCCCAAGCTAAACAACTATTGAGCAAAATCAGTTCTAGACTTGATACATTCAAATATTTGTGGACCAATTGGTACAAGATCACTAGGAGGAAAGAAATACTTCATAACATTCATCGAGGACAATCCAGATACACAACAATCTATTAGCTACAAAAGATGAAGCTATCTCCAAATTAAAACAATCTGTAACATGACGAAGAACAAATTTGGAAAGAAGCCAAAAGTCTTAAGAACAGACAATGGAGGAGAATATACAGCAAAGAGATTGAAGACTATCTAAAGGAAGAGGGAATCGAACATCAAACCTCCGTAGCATATTCACCGAACAGAACGGTAGAGCAGAAAAAAAAATCGATACTTAATGGAAATGACAAGATCCCGCTACTCGATTCAGGACTCAAAAGAGAATTTTGGGGTGAAGCCGTAATGACAGCCACTATCTGCAAACAGGCTACCATCAAGATCAGTTGAAAAAACACCATATGAACTATGGAATAATAAGAAGCCGATCTAAGCATATCAGAGTTTCGGCAGCACAGCTTATTGTCGAGTTCCAAGCAGAAAAGAAAGCAACTAGACGAAAGAGCAGAAAAAGGAATTCTGTTGGATATGAAACCGTACTAAAGATACAGAATTACATGCCACACGCAAACAACGTCGTGATCAGAAAGCGGATATTCGATGTAAACAAAAAAGAAGAAATGCCTTGTCAATTAAATGATCAGAATGAGGAAATAGATGGCCTTTTAAAGAAAATAAATCTAGAAAACAGTGTCCCAATGCTACAACAGAAAAAAATCCCCTACTACCGAGAAGATCCCAGAGAACGACTAAGGGAATCCCACCAAACAGATTCTCATACCTGGCTAAGAATGAAGAAATTAAAGTTCCTAAAGACTGGCAAGAATTACAAATTTTTCCAAACAAAGAAAAGGAACTGTGGTTAAAGTCCCCGAAAGAAGAAATGAAAGCACTGAAGAGAAACAAAACATAGGAACTAGTCAATCTTCCAAAAGGAAAGAAAGCAATTGGAAACAAATGGATATTTAAAACAATCCGACGCCTTCATGAAACGTTATCAGATATAAGCTCGTTTAGTAGCTAAAGGATATTGCCAAAAATTTGGCACACTACGACGAAACATTCCACAGTCGTAAAGTATACCACAATACGACTATTTTGGCAATCGGGGCAGCAAAATAAAATGCACGTAAAATCATCGATGTAAAAACACTTTTCTATATGGAGATCTGAAAGAAGATATAATATGAGCAACCGAAGGCTACATCTCTGCTTCAGAAGCAAATAAAATCTGTAAACTGAATAAAGTATCTACGGACTAAAACAGGCAGCCAAAACTGGAATCACAGATAGCTGAAATCCTGCGCAACAAGGATACGTTCAAGGAAAATCCATGTTCCTTCACACTAATCGAGAAAAAAGCAAGAACTTACATAATCGTTTTTACGTTGATGACATATGGTCGCGAGCGACAAGTGTGGAATTAATTCAAGAAGTTGAACGAATTCTCAAAGAATATTTCGACATTCGAAATCTTGGAGAAGTGTCTACATATCTAGAAATTGAAATCGAAAGAGAAAAAGACGGAAGCTTTAAACTTCATCAAGCTAACAAGATTAAGTGTATGATCGAAAAATTCGACGGAGAGTCACCAAAGAAACTAAGCTATACACCTATGACTACGAATTTTTCGAAGAACCAAAACAACCAGGATGACGTTTTTCCCGATAATCGGAAGTATAGAGAAGCAGTGGGAGCACTTTTATATTTAGCAACAGTATCAAGACCTGACATAGCAAATTCTGTTGGAATACTTAGCAGAAAAGTAGAAAATCCATCAACATCGGACTGGAACGGTATCATTAAAATCATACGATATCTGAGAGCTACAATTAATTACAAATTACATCTAAAATCCAATGGTGCACCAGTCATCAAAGCTTACAGTGACGCTGATTGGGCAGGAGATACCCCTGACAGAAAATCCACATCCGGATATATATTTCAAATAGGAAACAGTACGGTATCATGGAGAAGCAAGAAACAAAATTGTGTTGCACTATCTTCGACAGAACCCGAATACATCACTCTAGCCTTAACATTGCAGGAGCTACGATGGATTAGACAACTGATGGGAGATTTATGTTTCGCTCAACAGGAAGCTAACACCAAACACATCGATGTTACACCAAATACATCGATGTGA